CTTTTACAGATTCAATTTTCGGCTAATCTTAAATCAACTGTAAAACATGTAGGGTATGGGTGTAAGAAGAGAGCAACAACCACACTCACACTCACATCCAAACCCACACCCACACCCACACTTGACTCTGCTTCTTTCATCACGCAATTCTCTTCTCCTCCAACACATGTGCTTGTTTTTCTATTTTGCTTTAACCTTGAAAATCACAAAAAAACGGGTAGAAAGAGCACTTGTAGAAGGCCTCGATATATATTGAGGCCAAACATACTTGAAAGCTTGTTATAAAATAACAACGAAAAATAATTTATGTGGGTATGCTTGAAGTGTTACTTCAATGAATTTGCTTTCTCGTCGTATTCGTCGCCACAATATACTATTTCTGCAGTTCTCTATGTAAACGGACACTTAATCATGTACGATGGAGGTTCGTGACAACGTTATCAACAAACAAATCGCCAGAAAAGAAAATTGCATCAGTTATTCATCTTAACAACGCATACTGTCCGAGCACAAGCGACAAATATGGCAAGTAAAATGTAATCATTACTTCTAGAAACACCACTCGAGCTTGTTTATCGCATTCTCGATAATCTCGACATATTAACAATTTTTTTTATTCAGTTTCTAGCGTGTATACACGGCTGAATATGATTATTGATACTCATCGTCGACATCAGGTAAATTTTGATCTTTGTCACCGATTCAGATTTTTATCGCACTCAAGATATTACTACCGACGTGCATCATTTTTGTTGCAATAGCTATCTATTTTACATTTAGCGTTTACATGACAGATTGCATTGCATTCCATCGATTATTAGGGTATGGGTTGTGGGTTGTGGGAGTGGGTGTTGTCTTCTTTCCGTTCCCATGCACACACCCATACCCACCCACACTCATTGTTAATTCGCTTCTTTCATAATGTCACCTTCACACCCTGACTCTACTATTCTCTTCTTCTTGTATTTGCTTTGTTGTAAAATAAGAACAAAAAACGCAGTTGTCAGTTTGATATACTCAAGAAAACACGCACCTTGTTTCTTGCTTCTTTAGATAAAATACAGCCAAAATGTCCTCAGCTTCTCATTCATTTACTGCTCCTGTCCTTCTGCGTGCACGTAATTTCCAGTGGTATTGGAATTCCATAGCGGATCCGTGGTCTGCTAACGGTCAACAATGGCAGAAGTACACTGATGTTGAAAATGAAATTATTGAAGATGCAAGTAATCAAAAGATGTTCGATATTGAAATCGACGGAGATTATATAATTAACTTAGAGTGTTTGTTGCAATATAAGAGAGGTGATGAATTTACAGCGTGTCCAATTAAACGTGTTCAGCTCGACAAAGATAGAAGTAATATTCATCCACGTGAAGAACGATTTTTACTACCAGTGATACTTGCTACTTCAACATTTTCATCTCAGGAGTCGCAGAATGAAAAGGAACTTGATTGGCTACGAACATATGGTTATATTACGGGTTGTTATTGGAACCTGCAACTACAGAACAAGAATAAAACAATTGCTGAAGTTGTTGAAGAGGCTGCTCATGGAATTATTAAAGAAGGATCAGCAATTGGTAAAGTACATGAAGCACAATGGCTCTCTCAGCAATTAGTAGCTATCAAAGGTTTTGGTTCCAACATCAACGCAAACTTTATTCAGTGCTTTCCTTCGGAAATCGGTGAAACATGCGCCTATCTCTATACAAAAGAGTCATTTTTTGTATAAATTAATTAATTTCATTCTTCGTGATCCACATTCTATCACTCTTGAACAAGTGAAAAGCT